AGTCGGCTGTATCATGCAGTATTTTACACAAACTGTGGCTGCAACACGGAAGCAAAAACCTGCCTGCTGAAGTAAATATGAGTCCATAAGGGTGGAGCATTGTGAACTAACTATTCTGGGTTTTTGTAATAATGGTACTTGAAATTGCACTATAAACATAGTCTTCTTGTAACTAGTCATACATATGAAGACACTTTGTCAATTTGTAAATCAAAATGAATCAAAGGCAGTTTGGGTTGGGGGTCACAGAAATCAGTCCTCCCATGAATCAAACCTATACACTGAGGAAACATTCCCTTTTCCATCAGCTGTCTGAGCAAAATACTGACAAAATATTCTGTATTTTATTTTATGATGTTTTTTAACTTGAGGGAAATGCCTAGTATTTAACACGTGGTAGAAAACATGACTTTTGAGCAAGCCTGCATTTTAAATAAAACTAAATAAATTAGTACACTGTTCTTTAATATACTTACAGAGTAGAAAATTCTATATTGGGCTAAATCACATTTAGTCTCACCTCTATCATGTTGATATTTAACATCCTTAGTTGAGTTCAGAGTGAACAACAGCGACGCCAGGTCACAGATTAATTTGGCTTTCAAAGTTTCTCGCATCGGCTCATGTCGGCTGTGAAATGAGAGACTGGTTTCCGGTACTGTGCACCTCACTGCAAAACAACTGCAGGACAGAACGACCCTCTCTTCTCAGGGATTTCAACATTGTCCTTATTTTATTATGTGTTTTTATTGAAAGAAAAATTACAGGTTTAATAATTTTAGTCATTTGAGTCATTTTCAAACAGGCACCAGCAGTCTGTTTGGTCTTGCCTGCTCTAACCAGCGCTCCAGTTAGTTGACTGAGTGGTTGAGTGGTTCAACCCTTATGTGGCTCGGTTGCCCCACAAACAGTCATACAACCTCAAAAGGAGTCAAGGAAGGGTTGTTAGGTTGTTCAGGGTTTTGTACTAGTCAGCAGCCACACCCATATGTTTTTGCACACTTGTTTGCTACTATAATCTCCAGCTTGATGCTGTGAGCATCTTCTGTCCATTTCCCTGAATTATATCTGCTCATAGTTTGGACTGTGAAAGGGAACACACTAGCAGCACTGTACAGCAGATGGAACGTGACTAATGATAATTGAAAAGATGTGCAGTTACAGTGCTTAGACGTACAGCGTGGTTGATGATAAACATCAGCTGACTGGAAACATCACTTTGCAGATCAGGATGCAATTGCAACTTTACTTGATAAGATTTGAAACTAAAGGCAGATCATAAATGACCCACAACATGTGTCTCAATGATGTGAAAAGTTTCATGCTCGCATCCTTCAGTGCAACTACTGATGATGCAAATAACCAGTTTGGGGGTATGCCAAGGTCAGCACCACACAGAGCTCGTTTCATTGGCTGGTGGTTAAGGTTTACCCTGCAGGCTTGTTTTTAAAAGTGCCAGCTTCTCAAACTCTATCACAGAGACAGGAAGCAGACTTGGCACCTCAAATAGCACAGGTAAGATAACTTAAGAGAATCTGGCAGGTATGAAATGTAATTGTGACATCACAATTAGAACATCACAGTCAGCAGTAGTAACTGTAGCAATGTGGTTGTGGCTCATTGTAATCAGAGCCCAGACTCATTCATATGGTTTAATACATTTATACATGAGTCCTTCCAGAGCTGTTGAGCACCCGCAGGCTTCCTAAAGCTCTTAGATCAACTCATCTGGGCTTATTGGAAGTCCCAGGGACTAGATATAGACCTAGATATAAACGGTGGTGGGACCGAGCCTTTACAGTTACTGCTCACAAGTTATGGAACAGTTTGCTGCCTAAACTACACTCAGTACCAGGTGTGGTCTCCTTTAAATCAGATTTAAAACTGTATATTTTTAAATTAGCATTTAGCTAATTTGGTTTATTGACACTCGGATTACGGTTCTACTGCTGTGGGTTTTTGCTTCCTTGTATTTTCAGTTGTTATTAGTATTGATTGTGAATCACTTTGGTCAATCTGTTGACTGATGCAAAGTGCCATACAAATAAATGTTGAGTTGATTTATTTCAGCTGCCCAGGTTTACTTTTAATGCTATGAAACTGCTTTGAGTGTATTTTGGAATGATATCCAGCCCTAGTTAAAAGTCAAACTCTTGCAGTTTTTTCCAATCACTGTCACGCTCCTGCCCCTCTTGCTTCCTGTCATGCTTTTATTTTCACAATACTTCCTGTTTTGTTTCACCTCAGTTTTGGCCCTTTTATTTAATCATCATTAGTTCACCTGCTCCTTATTGTTTGCACCTGTTTTTTACTTCTATTTAGGCAGCATCTTCCCACCAGGATGCTGCCAGATTGTTCTAGACCCCAGCTCTGACTCTCCAGCATTTATACCTTGCCTGACTCTCTGTTTCTGACCTTGGATTACCGTTTTTTGACCACCGTGTTTTGTCTATGCCCTCCCAGATTTTTTGACCACCGTGTTTTGTCTATGCCCTCCCAGATTCTGATCGCCTGCAGTGTACCGACCTTCTGATTTTGTCCCCCTTGACCTCGAGTTTGGAATGCCCTGGCTATACCTGTTTACCGGCGCCGACCCTGAACTGTCTTATCGACCTGATTGATATCCTGGACTTTGTGTTAGTTATTTTGCTTACAACAAGTACAGAACTTGTCGCTACCTCGGTTCATCTGGTTTTCTAATTGAGTTCACCACAACCTTTGTTTGGCATCTGTACACGCCAAACCTGACAATTACAATGTTATATGTCAATGGAATTTGCAGTTTTGACGTTTGTCAGTAGAAAATAAAATAATGCACATGTACTAATAGGAACATGGGAATATCAAGCTTTCAGATTCTCAACACAGTTCTACTCCTGTTGCTAAAGGAACATAATTTACAGTTTCTAAAAATATAACATTGTCATTTACCCCAGCTGCTGGAGTGAAACAAGAAATGAAACAGACCGTACTGGTTCCCACATGCCAACAATTACACACCACCATCACACATAGTGGTGAAAAGTGACTGAAACATAAAACTGCTGCATACTCAAACTGTAAAACAGCATACATGGTTGCTAGAGATGATCTCACTTTCATCTTAATTGTAAAGGAGCTTTCATAATTTTTCCTGGTATTATGATATAACGTTCTGCTGTTAACAGAAGGAGAAGCTGCACAATAATAGACAGTATTTATAGTCCAGCTCAGTGACACTGGCAACTGCTAACAAATGTTTTTAGGTGTAAAATGTAAAATAGTGATTTGATCATGTTGATTAGGTCGCATTTCAATCAGGAAAATAAAAAAAAGTGTCAGGCAAATGGCATTTAAACGCCAACAGCAATTGTTTTTTTCTGGGTGGTCTGAAAGGTGGTTTTATTTTAAGGTGGAATTAAAATGTTAATTTGGGGATAGCCACAGAGGGAGCCATGTATTTTCTCTATGTGCATCTATAGTAGAACCAACCTGTGAGGGAGATACATGTATCTGAAATGCATTAAATGCAGCATGAAGAGAGTCAGAGCAGCATACTGTTATTAGCACAATGGACATAAATGCAACAAAATGGACAGACACACCACACACATACACATACTGTAAATAATAGAGGCCCAACAACAGAGCCTAGTGGCACGCCTTTACAGTAAGCATCAAACCATTGTTGTTTAAGCTTATAAACTGCAGTTTGACCCACAGTATTAAAAATTTAAGAAGTCAATAAAAAGAACTTCTGATAACCAGTTAGTTGTGTTTCCTGTTGACATGAAATAAGTTGTGTTTTTTTAAAAATCGTTCTTGTCTTATAAAACAACCATTAAAAATAGGCTGTTGGTTAAATCCCAACCTCCCAGACACCCAGCTCCGCTCTGTTAATAAGACTGTTTACATCTTTACTGTAGCTCCTCTTACCTTTTAAAGGACATTCCTTAGCTGGTCTCTGTATTAAATAGAGATTAATTAAAATAGATAAGAAAAAAAACACTATTTAATAAGGTGACTAGTCTTAGCAGTCACCGTGTGAACAATGAAATGACAAAAAGTGATTGTGAAAACTGCCTTTAAAGCCTATTAGCACGCGACACTGACTTATCTGTAGACCTTTGAGCTGCCCACAGTTTCCCCTGTGCCAACGAAGTAATGCCACTGTCACGCAACCCAGTGCAGATGACTAAAATACTACCGCTGCTTGCTTACTCACACTGCATACTGTAGATGCAGATCTCTCGCTTTCAGTCCTGTTAATGATTTAGTATTTCCTGATATGATGAGAAGCACATTATTCTGCTCAAAATAAACCCAGGCTGGTTTCTATAATACTACAGGTTTTTGTACAATGATCAGTCCTCACGCAAGCTGCCCTCATCTTGGCATTTTGCAAAAGCCCAGGATGACTCATAATATTCAGTATAGGGAACTCAAAGTATTTAGTCTCTGCTACAGAAGGTTTTCAAAGTGCAGTTGATGCCTTTGTAGCACTCTTGACGCAGTACTTACAGATACAGCTGTTTGAGCCAAAGGCCGATGTCGGCATGCTACATCATGACAATGCTAACATGCATATTTTTAGCTGTTATAATATTGACCATGTTCATCATTTTAGTGTAGATTTTAGCACCAAACACAAAGTATGGGAATGTCATTAATTTTGAAGGTATTTGCTCCTAAATCAAAGTATTGGAACAAAATTAAATTCTGACCTGATGCAGATCACGTTCAAAAATAAAGAAGTCAGTTTCAAACATTGTTCTGTAAACACTGAAGGTCCATTAACTAATTTATTTTCAGCTGCTGGAGCATCCAGTGAGATTTAAAACAAACTGACTCAACCTGTTTCAGCTGTGCAGCAGCACAGTGACGAGTGACAATGAGGAGACCGTCCCAAATGAGGCTAACAAAGCAATGACGTCACACAAAGCTCCAGTTACTCCCAAATTAAAATCATATTAATTCAAAGATAAAGTTGTGACCATTCTAGGTGGCTAATGCTACCCAGGCAGTCACAAAAGTTAAGCTGCAAAATTCATTGGCATTGACTTAAAAGTTGCAGAGATGAGGTACAGTGCACATTTTAGTCATGAGGTTTTTTTCTTCTCATCTCAAGAAAATTATTTACTAGTTTTTATTTTTTCCTCACCAGCAATGGATTATGAGTATTACAACACAACAGACTACGATTATTGGAATATAACCAACACAACAGACTACGATTATTGGAATATAACCAACACCACAGATGACCTGACCTCTGGCTGGTGTGAGGCTGGTGAGCAGGAGCTCACCATCAAAATGTTCCAGTCTTGTGTTTTCTGCCTGATCTTCCTGCTGGGCATGGTGGGAAACTGCCTTGTGATTGCCACCTTTGCTCTGTACCGCCGCCTCAAGCTTCGCTCCATGACTGACGTCTTCTTGTTCCACCTGGCGCTGGCGGACCTCCTCCTGCTCCTCACGCTCCCATTACAGGCTGTTGACACTCACCGGGGTTGGATCTTCTCTGGTCCTCTCTGCAAGGCCACACGTGCATGCTATGCTATCAACACCTACAGTGGACTTCTGCTGCTGGCCTGCATCAGCGTTGACCGTTATTTAGTGGTGGCACGAGCCCAGGAGATGCTTCGTCTGCGCTCTCAGATACTAACAGGCGGGAAAGTATCTGCTGTAGGTGTGTGGTTTGCTGCAGTGCTCCTCAGCCTACCTGAAATCCTCTACTCTGGGGTATCATGGTCCGGCAGAGAGGCCAACTGCGTTATGCAGACGAGTGGGATAGCCAAAATGGCCACCTACGGAGCACTCATTGGTGTCTTCTGCTTGTCCTTCTTCATTATGTTGACATGCTATTCTTTGATTGCTGGAGTGCTGCGTGAAGGGAATGCACACCGGCGAGGGAAGCAGTGGCATCGGCAGCGCACCTTGAAGCTGATGGTTGCTCTGGTGTTGGTTTTTCTGGTGTTCCAGCTGCCGTACACTGTGGTGCTGTCTCTTAAAATGGCAGGGCAGTTCTGCGGTCTTCTCGTAGAGTACATCACCTGCACTTTGGCGTACACCCGCTGTTGCCTTAACCCCATCCTGTACGCCCTGGTGGGAGTGCGCTTTCGTAATGATGTGCTGAGGCTCATCCATGATTCAAGGTGCCCAGGTGGGTTGAAACCGGTGCCACAGGCACTGAGCTCCACCTCCGTGCCTGCCTCTTCACCTGCTCTCACCGTGCTCTCAGTTTGCTCTCCAGCAGCCCCTGAACGTAATTACTCCAGCAGTGAGACAGCGTCTCCCACCCACTTTCATTTTCCAGGAGACAAGTAGCCTGATGTCTTATGGAGAGGACTGTAAAGCGAGCAGACCTCTTTGCTTTGTTTATTATGTACATGTACTATAGACGTGCTTTAAAAGATATACAGTATTCAGATATTTTACTTCAGTGAAAGAAGCAGTACCACAGTATAGAAATACTCTGTTACACAGTGGTGGAAGAAGTACTTGGATAGTTAATTAAAAGTAGCAATACCACAGTGAAATAATACTTTGTTACAAGTAAAAATGTTAAGTAAAATTACAAAAGTAATGGCATAAACATATACTTAAAGTGCCAAAAATAAAAGTACTCATTATGCAGAAAGCCACAGTTCATATTAATGTATATAATGTTATTGGATTATAATTATTGGTGTGTTATTGTGTACATCACATTGAATGCTACGGCTGGTAAAGGTGGAACTAATGTTAACTACCTATAGTTTGAAGTACTTTGCATACTGCTGGGTAGCTTGTGATTTTTACACAAAGGATCAATCAAGTCTTGTGATTATACTGTATTTTGTTTTATTAATCTCATTCAGAAAAGTAACTAGTAACTAAAGTTATCAAATAAGTGTAGAGTACAAAGTACAACATTGTTTCTGAAATGTAATGAAGTCGAAGTATGAAGAAAATTAAAATACTCAAGTCCAGATACCTCAAAATTGTACTTAAGTAGAGTACTTGAGTAAATGTACCTAGTTACTGTTCACCTCTGCTGTTACAGATAAAATCCCTACATTCAAAGCTGCAGTTATGTTATAGTACTGAAGTATTGGCATCAGATATACCGATAGCCTATTTAAAGTAGCAAGTATACAGTAATGGCACAGAGTGTCCCATTTCAGAATAGTCATTTCATTGGATTTTAATTATTGATGCACTGATGTGCAGATGGCAAAGGTAGAGCTAGATTAATTACTACATGTACTGCTGGGTATCCAGTGTCGTCCCCGGGATCCGTGTTCTTATCTTAACCTGGTTTATTGTATTATGTATAATTAATGTGGATGTACAAAGTAATCAAACGTATATAGGCCAGTACATATTTAGTTGTATGGTGATGTACTGTAGTTGAACAATGTGTCTTCTGTCTTTGTGGTTTCTGTATCTGTATCTTATCCCCAACCTGATCTGAATTCTAACCTGACCAATAAACCAGACTGCTTTCCATTCTTTGGTGGTTCTTTGACCTACATGTGGTGACAGATCACTTTTGATAGGTTGTGTGTCATGATTAGACTGTAATAATGACGTGAGAATTGTCTTAGTTAAAAAATAGCATTCATGTATTCTCATGGTGGTCAGAACAAATTGAAATTTATTCTGAAATAATTTTTATTCAATAGTATATATGCAATAATAGTATGTATATGTTCTCCACTCACGTGCTTTTGTCAATAAATTTCATCTATATTATTATTAATTTAAAGACTCGTGTTTTTAACCTGTCTTCTGTCTGAAGATTTGCATTTGGATTATTGCATAATTTGAAATTCACTCAAACCCACTACTTCTACAATCAGTGAAACTCGACTTGGCCATGCGTTGCTCTCAAAATGCAAACCAGCATCATGAGCATGTGCTGCCAGTCTTCAGCTTTTCTTTCATGTCTCTGCGTTGGCACGTTTCAGACTACACTGTCTGTCTCAGGACTCCTGTGCAGTTGTGGCCTTTTAATATATCCATATAATTTAAAATCAGCCAACTGGAAGTTGTTAGACCTGTGAGGCAAAAGTTTTGAGGTATTGGTTTTGAAGTATTCTCTTTTACAGAGCGAGCTGTCTTTAAAATAATGTCAGGGTAAACGGCGAGTGGCCTTCATATCTGCATGTAAACAAAAGCAGAAGCCTGACATTAAGCTGTCCCGGTAGAAGCGACATCTGTGCAGCGCCATCCCCAGCTGCACAGGCCTGGTTACTAGTCTGTCCCTGAAGCAGGACTGCTCTAACAACTGTACAACTTAGATCACTGCTCATCACCAGTCATTTTATGATTTTGACAGAGATGACAAAAGAAACTCCACTCACATCCACATGTATGGTACTCGCATACACTTGTTTACACATACATTTTATACTAGACCAGTTTAAGACCTCTAGATCTACACTTTGTAATATTTTCTCTTCATCTGAACAGTGTGTTTTCATAATCGATGAATCTGCAGTCAGAAAATAGTGAACGTTGTCCTTCAGTTTCCCACAGCACAAGGTGACATCTTCAGGTCTCTTGCTGTGTCTGTTGTCTTCACCGTTTGCGGTCGTGCTTAGAAGCAAAAGACTTAAAACAGAATTCTCGACTGTGTGAAACAGCTGAGTCGAGGAATAAGAATAAAAGCTTGCAGGATGTTACTGTACTGGAAATCAAATTGGACATAGTTCAGCACATACATCAGTGGGAAAACAATTTAGTAAAATATAAATGTAATTTCTAGGTGACAGGGTCACACAGTATGAGTTAGAAAACTCATCATACGATTAAGGTAAACTCAATGAATAAAGTTCCTTCACCGAGTGTGTCGCACTGCAGTACCTGGTGTGGCTTATGTCCAATGTGGTGTTGACCAGGTGTGACCAGACACACAGGTATCAGTGTGACACATTATTTATTAACAGCTACTTCCCGCTCCCGGTAAGACTCCAGTCATCCTGCAGCCGAAAGCTCGCTCAATAGCAGTCCTTTAAAATGTCACGTCATCACTGTTACACAACCAACAGTGTGATTGTGGTTAAGTGTGTGATCCGCTTTAGCAGCCACATTACAACTGTGGTTTGTTAGGATGCAGGGAGGGTGATGACGTAGCAGGTCGGTATGAATGAGGCTTCGATCACTAGGGGATGAGCTGCCGGCGTTTGGCTGTTTGTTGCCTCTGGAGGAGGAAGAACACCCGCCGCTGCTTTCACTCTGTAACTCCGGCTTCTCATAATGACTCATGTCCGCTCTAAAGCCTGATAATTCAGATAATGATCATTTCAGTGAAATGTTTATCTAATCCAAGGATTCTTTAGTTAATTACCACAAAAAATATCAACAGTTTCATTTCATAAATCAGAACCAGTGTTCTAGCTCATCTCTCCAGCAGTCAGGGCCAAGCCCACTATTTTCTACTGAAGAGCGCTAGAGACAGGTCACAAATGTACAGTTTCATTGGTAAAAAGGCTCCGTAATTTCCGGAAACAGCTGGACACAGTATTGTTTAGCCAATGTTATTCAAACAGGGGGAAATGCATGTGATGGGGACTAATTTCAGTGATGGAGCAATCCACATGTTTTACGCTAGTGAGTATTTATTGTCAGTGTTTCAAAATAAGATTGTGTGTGTAAATCTGTTTACACAGTCACACTGTGGAGACTTGACATCCTTATGAGACAAAAAGCAAGTCTCCAAAATGTAAATCATAAAATTTTAGAGTGATGACTTGGTTTAAGGTTGTGGTGAGGTCAGAGTTAGCCAAGTAGTGGTTTTGGTTGAGCTTAGGTTAGGGTAGGTCTCCAGGATAAGAATATAAGACAATGTAATGTCCCCCGAAGTGATGGAAACTCAACATGTGTGTTCATGGTAATGAAGGACCGTGTCGCCCGGCGTTGCTCACGGATGTGTTTTGGATGACCAACGAGCACAGTGGCACATGATGTGTAGAATAGAGCTGTGATTAATTGACTGGCTGATAGAACACCAGCTACTTTTATATTTGAATTTTCTGATGTTTTAGACAAACATGGATAAATAGTTTTGGTCTTGTGTTTGTAGGATTTGGTGATATTAAAAACAATAGAAAGTCACCAGATAAATTCGGACTATACTGTAGCTTTCAGTGTGTTGCTGAATGGCTGTGGTCACATGCAGCCTGCACTCAGAGGCTTTAGGACCCAGCGAGCTCCAATGTGTCAGTGCTCAGCTCTGTGCTGAAGTAAAGCCACCACCGCTCCCGTCTCTCTGTCCCTGTGTCGGACAGGCTGAATGGATGTCTGCCGGATGTCCACCTTCCTCTCTAGCCCCTCTGGATATGGAGATCAGAGACTCAGACTCCCAGCAGCAGATGGAGGACATCCAGAGATTACCTACAAGCCCAACTAGGTGTCTCTGACTGAGAGCACTGCAGCTTTGGGAGTAGTTTTCCTGCAGTTTTCTCCTCACCTGTGCAAAGGGAAACAGAAGTGGTACCTTGCCTTGTTAATCGTCATGTCTTGAGTTTTCCTTCCCATTGCAGCCTCATCCTGTGAAGCAGTTACAGGCTCTGGGTCTCTGCTGGGGGACCAAAATAATGACATGTGATTCCTAAGATTGGCTCACAAGTGATGGGAATGCTGGGTAATGAGCTGTTGAATCTGAACCTAGCCACTAAACTCCAAAAGAGTGAAATCTTCTGATTAATTGATTTTATTTCACACTGTCGTCCTGGAACAGGCAACTCATTCATTCAGGATTTTCCTTTAATTTGTCACCCATGTGAACTAAATGATAAGATAAGATGCCACATGCAGCCCTCTGTCATTTGACTACAAATAAGCATTGATTTGCATGAATTTGCCATCTGGAGCTCAGCATGCACATACAGTATGTGATTGTTGAACATCCTGTTTGCAAAATCAGCCTGCAGTCCTCTGTGGTTTTCTACAAGTGTTTAAATCTTTGCTGCAGGGATTTCCTTCAGCCCCTAGAACATTAGTGCGGTCCGATGCTGGCGGTGGGCGATAAGATCCGGCTCACAGTCGGTGATCCCGTTAATCCTCAACCTTCTTCCAAACTTTCCTGTGTCTAAAATATCTTTCTGTTCTGCAGCATTCAGGTTCCCTTTTAGTTGGACAAAGGGGATTGAACCATGAAAAAACTACATACATTGATACTTTTGGCCAAACTGTGTACTTTTAAAACCATGTAACAATACTATGTTTTAGTTATTCACTTTGCAGCACAGTGTGTTTAAACATGTCACATTCTACAGCATGTTACATGCTGTATGTTCTCTTTCCACAAATTAACGCATATTCCATGTTGTTCAGGCTACTGTAGTCTCGTTCTGCATGGACTGAGGTGTTTGCATGTGAGTGCACATCCGTGTTGTAGTGAATTCAGTTTGCGTTGCAGTGGAAGGATTTGTGTGTGTGAAGGTTGTGGGATGGTCGCTGCAATGAGATCATGTGCCAACTAGGTTTTTCTGATCAAGTGTGTGTGCAGCTGTCATCCTGTGTGTCTGTGTGAATGTGCAGCCACAAGCAGGCTTTCGTTCTGCAGTAGTTTATCGGTGTGTTGCATCTAAAGTCAGGCTTCCTCCCCTCCTTGCACTGAACACATTCTGGGTGTTAACGGCGAGCTTTTTGCTACATCACCATTCTATCACACCAAATGTAGATCATGCCTCCCACCACGGCAGCGCCCTCCTCACTAAGTCACCCCCCCACATCTTCTGCTGAGTGTGCATTGCCAACCCCCTGCTCAAAGAGAAAACGGTACTCTGTCTGCATCTAAACCAGCTGGCTGCAGGCTGCCTGCTCTGCCGGTGTGCAGAGGTGGAGGTGGGGGAGGCCATAAACTGTCACTGGTCTCATTCTGCAGTGGCTCAAAGGGACCAGAGGGAGAGAACGCATTAGGCCTCCCTCTGAGGGGTGCATAACCATGTGTGGTTGCATGTGAGCATTCAGTATTTGTGATGCAGGCCGTTGTGTTTCTCTGCGAGCAGCTCATGCCTAAAAGAACAGAAATCTGTACAGTACAATTTGTGACTGATAATGTGAGCGTTCAGAGGCTTCACTCATGTTCAAATTTACAGCACTCTTCCCTGTTTTACATAACACTTTGCATATTTCCCAACAGGGAATGCGACAGTGTGTGGAATTGTACTTCTGTGGATTTGTGTGTTGTATTTATGGACAGAGATGAAGAGCTCTCTGTATCACACAGTACAGTTCAACAGCAGCACAAACGACAGCCTCCAAAATGATCTCACAGTTGAATCGGCACCTCTCTGAGACAACTGGAACCCAAACTGAACATTACCACCCTCACGACAGAGGGTTTACTGACTTAGTTCGAGCATGGTGTTCCTAATAAACTGACTACTGAGCGTAAATTCCTACAGTCCATGGTGATCTACTTGAATTAGTTGTTTTTTGCTGATTAATGCCAATTAATTTTCTTTGGATCAGCTAATTGTTGCAGCTCTGGTTCAATGTACATGTGGCGAAGTGGACTCAGCTCAGACAGGCACGGCCTCGTGGAGGACGGGAGGGAAGGGGAACACTGATTCTGTAGTTTTCACTCACTACTGCAACTGCAGGCTGTTTTCATCACCATGATAATTTTATTGATCCATCTTTTTTGGGATGCTCAGCAGGTTGCACGGCCACGCATCATTCAGCGGCACACAGATGTCTTTGTCCTCCTCAGTCTGCTGCCAGTTTGAGCCTCATGGTTTTGAATCCACAACTGTTCGCAGCATTGCTTTAGGGATTACAGATGTGCGGCATTTATACCATGTAGTTAAAATTAACCTCGTGTCTGATTTACTGTAAAGCCAGTGTGTGGGTCACCGGTTTTAATTTTCAATGCCAATTAAATCAGAACAGTGGAAGCAGAGTTGTCGTCGTGCAGGTTGTCAGGGAGGGTGACAGGAACGGCCGCATGCTTTCACACTCGCTGTGTCTTAGTGGGTATAAAATGGTCCATAAAGGACATACAGCCATCAGCAGGAGATGGAAATTAAACTTGTTAAAATTTGATGACTGGTGCCTCACTGTTTCTGCTTTACTGACTCTGCCCTTCTCTACCAGTGAATCCTGTGATTATCTGACTTGATGCTGATGCACACACCTTGTGTTGAGTGTGTGTAATTGTGTATGTAAAATACAGTGTGTATTCTGTGCAACATGCAGCAGTGTTCTGTGTGGCCGACGTGCCGGCGTGGCTCTGCTTTGCAGATTAAAATGTGATGACTAAGACAAAGGGTCCAAGAAAAACAACAGCATTAGTTGTTTATTCAAAGGCCCGAAACAACCTGTGTAAACTCTGACTCTTGTCTGTCGGGTGTAAAGGCACAAGTTGTGTGACATTGCTGCAACACCGCTGTGATGCTACACTATATTTTTGTACCGTTATCACCATCATCCAGCTACTGTGTTTACTGTTGACGCTGTTTTAAACCACTTCTCAGAAACCTCCAGAGTAAACCCATGTTGTTTTTCTCTTGTGGCCTCCAGCCGACCAGATATAACCGGCTGTTATTGACCCGCCAACTCCGTTCATCAGGCCTGATTCACATCCAGCACACACCACTGCTGATTTACTGTCTGTCTGCAATATGCTGTGCCCTTGTTTCTCAGCATGACACACCTAGTGTCTACACAGTGTGGACAGAAAACAATGCTAGTAGAAAAACATCCAAACTTGAAAGCAAAAGCTGGTTATGTGGTCAAGCTGAGGCTTATCTCTGAGCTCAGGAACAATCAGCAGATCACCTCTAAGTTAGCACTGCTGCACATTCCTCAGCAGACCGAGTCAGCACTGGTTGCTCAAGACGAGCAGGAGGTGTGAGGTCTGGCACAAGGGGAGATGGATAAGATAGGAGGAGGATACAGTATTTGGCCAGTGGGAGATGGCTGGCTGTGCGCTGTCCTTGGCTGGGAGTCTCCTGTCGACTAGCCCAGTTTCGTGTGTGTGTGTGTGTGTGTTTGTGTGTGTGGTGGGCTATAATTAGTTCAGCTCATGGGTCTGTCTGTGCCGAGTCTGTTTATTATGTGGGACAGCACCAGTGCATTAACAGCTGCGTGGTGAGAGGCTTTCATCGTTCCTAGAAACTCGGAGGACAAAACTTTTTCCTCTGGGCGATTTTCAGCCTGATGGTTTTTATCATCCACATAAACTTGATGGTGACCACGTCAGCTCTGACAGTAGGGATGAGTGGTTTGCATGAGGTCTAACCAGAGTGCACCATCAGCTTGTGTTTTCAAAACAAACAAAGAGCCTTTCTGAAATGTGAGTGATTAATTAACTGTTGGGGTGTAATAGGAACATTCACTACTGTGCTTTACTTAGTTTCCTGTTCCCTGACACTTCATATTGATAAATGTTTAAAATAATACTTCTGTGCTTATTTTGAATGCAGGACTTGTGTATATAGTGTGCTGGTACTACAGATTATTTACTCTTTGCTCAGGTGAGGGAGAGGCCAGTGCAGGTGAAAATATCTTTTGACATGAACACTGGGCTTCCATGGGAACTTCTGGCACATTAACTGTGTATTGATACATGAGAAGGTGTATCACTGGCACCAGACTTGTTGTGACAACAGAGCTGCAACAGTAACATAGTCTGCTGATAATGACCAGTGAGGCTACAAAGCAGAATCACTGACCCCTGATTCACAGAGTGACTCAGTCCTGGACTAGTGAGTGAAAGAGGAAGGCCATGACCCTGAGTAATGGTGAAATAATTTACAGTAGAGCTATGAATTATTGAGGAGGGCCCCATGGTGGGGGGGCGTCCAGGGGGCCGTGGGGGGGCCCAGTCTTTCTTATCATATTGTTTCCCAGGCTGTCTGCTTATTCTGAGGTTAACATGAGAGTTTATAGGTACAGACTATAGTATAGGGTTTAGGTTACAGTCCATAGCCTCACCTGACACCTAGTCAAGGTTAGAAGAAGGGTTTTTCCAGCCACCAGTAGTCGTGTCAAACAGCCACGAAGGAGCCCTGGGCAGCTAAAAGCTTGAACCAGCGGCTGCCAGAGTGAAGAGGTGGCGTCTTTTGCACAGAGAGAGTGGGACAAAGAAAGAGCAACAA